GGATTGGGATGTTTTCTTCATGTGCACTTAACCTAAGGTGACCAGATTTTAACATTGGTAAAGCGGGACACCATTGATAAAACTCATATCCTGGCAAAATAGCCACATGGCAGCCGAAAACCGTATACCCTAGCTTTTTGTGCATTCTTTCCAAAAATTGGGACTTTTTTAAACGCTGCGGGATGCGGGAAAAATTGTTAAAAATCAGGACTGTCCCACCAAAAGCGGGACGTCTGGTCACCTTAAATAAAACTCTCTCATACATGAGTTTCTGTGGATTTGTTTCTCTAAAGTACCCAAACTAACACACAACCCTTACGCAAAGCTTCTCTTCATTTAAAAGAAAAACCAAACAACCAACCAACAAAACCTATACTGTAGTTTTTCCTTATGTTCCTTGTACAAAATGAGTTCTGCTCTTTGACTTTTTTATTTTTTACAATTTTAAGACCCCAACTTCCATAACTTTTTCCCCACTCCCAAGAAATGCTCAAGTTTTCAAATATGGTATAGAAACTAGTATTTATGCACAATTCACTTTTTTTCTTTGTAATAAAATTTCATCTCTTTAAAACCAAATATATATATCTCCAATAAGGAAACTCCTCTATCATGGTTTCTACAGCGATGAAGGATCTCAGCTACGTTAGCTACTTCAGACTCCAGATCTGCTTAGATGTGCAAACTGTGTCTCCCCTCGGGAGTTGGTACCTGTATGGAAGCAGGTCGCCAGGTCTTTCTCCCTTGCAGCAGGTAGGTGGATTCAAACTGCCAACCTTTCAGTGTCTCGCCATTATTCCACCAGGGCTCCTGGGGGAGCTGTAGGTGCTTGATTATACTTGTTTGTTTCTTGACCAAAGGTACAAGAATATTTTTGAACTTCAAAACTTAAAAATGTCTTGTTAAGTTAGAAAGACACTGGATTTTTAAAAGCCAACAACATAAAATTCTACAGTGGCTTTTAAATGGCTTTGTATATTATGCATTAGCAACACATAAATACTGATTCAATCGATTTTAGACTAGTCACTTGCTTTTATCCACGCTCTTAATTTATAATAATATTCCAGTGCACAGTGTGAGGACTTTTACTGAAGGTTGAATTTGATCTTTGGAATCCATTTACTTTTTCCCACAAATGACCTCCAGAAAAAAATTGTAGTATGTTTGGTGGAGCAAAAAGCTAAGGAATCTGGTAAGAGCTCAGTTGCTTCCAGACATTTCCAAATCAGGAGGAGGCTGTTAACCCATGAATTTTAACGATTTCCATCATTTGGGGTGTGTGTGTGTGTGTGTGTGTGTGTGTAGAGGGCCAGAGGGGAAATGGGAAGAGGCATGAGATGAGAATTCCATTGTTTTAATTCATGAAACCATCTTATTTTCATCAAGCAAGTACTCTTAAAATGAAATCAAACTAAGAAGTATGTATTTTGCCATATCACTGTATGGCAGTGACTTTGGTGTGGGTTTGGCTCTCTGACAAGGTGAAAGCCCAGAGAGGGGACAAGACACTTTGTGAGGAACAGAAGGATTTCTCTTAAGTTGTCTCCCCAAAATATGTACCAAACTTAGCTGCTTAAGAGTGACTGTACAATAGGTGATCAGTGAAAGTAGGTCAGAGGTTATTCTCCTGAACATCAGCCATCTATAGTGGCTAGACTATTAGTCTGACTCACCCTGAATAAGACCCACTCCCTTCTGATAAGGATAATGGTGGTCTGTTCACTTGCAGGAGATACCAGAGAGGGCAAACCCGCCCAAGCGTGACCAAGGTTAGATAGTCATTATCAGCTGTCTAGATCAAGCAGACACCACTGTTTATTCCACAACCAATGTGGGCACACCCCTAGGTGATTCCCCTCCTATTGATTGTATTGCTTATGTTACGACCCCTATGTTAATACCCCTCCTGGTGACTCAGGTTATTGTCCACTATCAGGGAACTTGCATGCCTCCCAGAATAGTAATTGTCTGTTTTATTATATGAGACATTAGAGTGATCAAACTTGTTCTAGAATTAATTGTATTGCCCCTTTCTGTGATGTATGACTCTATGATGCATGGTTAGCAATAAATAATGAGGCTCCCTGGTTCTCAAGAGGGTGGCTGGAGAAGGTGACTAAGGAGGACGAAGCAGCGGCTTCTTCTCTTGACGACTGAGCCCCCTCCACGAGGACCATTAAGCCTAGCTGAGGTGAGCTATGCTACCATGAATTGCGTCTGACTCCATTACTTGACTCCATCCTTTAACTCTCCTGCTCTCTGACTTTACTATAATCTCTACTTATTATCGCTGTACAATTGCGCCTACCGAACCTGTGATGTTTTGTGGGGTTCTCCCTCTTCCCCTTAACCCCACAACACTTGTCAAGTTGATGCTGACTGAAGGTGACCTGCTGTGTGCAGAGTAGAACTGCTCCCTAGGCTTTTCAAGGCCTGGCCTTTCCAGCAGCAGATCACGGGCCTGTCTCCCACGAGCCTCTGGGTGGGTGTGGACCAGCGACCTTTTGGCTAGCAGGTTGCAAGGGACTGTTGAAAAATGGCTCATGGTGCTTAATATCTTTTTGAGCCTTTCTCTAATTGATGCAATGTTCTTTTTAACACCGATTTCATTCCTTCTCAAACTCTGAAAACGAACTCAAGAAAACCAAACTCACTGCCATCCAGTCGATGCCAACTCATAGTGACCCTCTAGGACAGTAAAGAACTGCCCCTGTGGGTCCCCAAGACTGTAACTCTTTATGGGAACAGAAAGTTCTTGGCCTTGAACAGATCACAGTCCAATTCGTAACCACCAGGCCACCAGGAATACCACAACTTACTAGGAACTTACAAATAAAGAGAGAAAAAAATTAAAGCTTTTTAGAAAGTCTGAGGAGTTGTCGCGACATGGTTACGTGCTCTGCTGCTAACCCAAAGTAGAAAGATGTGACTGGGTTTCGTTAGTCTTGGAAATGGTGTGGGGCGGCTCCACTCTAGCCAACTGTTGCGGTTGTTGTTGGGTGCCATCGAGTAGGTTCTCTGTGTACAAACACTGCCTGGTCCTGGCGCCATCCCCACAATCGTTCTTATGTTTGAGCCCATTGTTGCAGCCACGTCTTGCGCTGCTAACCACAACCTCAGCAGTTCAAATCTACCAGCAGCTATTCAGGAGAAAGATGAGGCTTTCTACCCCTCACTCTCTCCCCCACCCTCATCCCTGCAAAAATTTAGTTTCAGAAACCCACAGGGGCCATTCTACTCTGTCCTTTACGGTGACTGAGTTGGAATAGACTCCGGACAGTGGACAGTGAGTGTTTTAGAGTTAGAGGTGAATTGCAAATAGGAACCTGTGTCTGAGGTTAGTCTTTGGAATCCATAATAATAAAAAAAAAGTATGGAAGGTTCTGTCATCGTTGTTGTTGACCTGTGACAAATTCCCAATATACAGATAACCTAATGACCTCTTTTTTCTACGTATGAACAAGACATCCTGCCTAAATGCGTGCAGGATTTGACCACCAGGGCACACTTTATGCGAGGTTTATTTGGTTTATTCAGCCAATGTTTAAGCCAATTTATAAAAGTAATCCAAACCATTACTGTGTGTATTAGTTTGCTCCCACTTTGATTAGCTTTGGTGGTAGTAAAGCCTTTATTGCTCAACTTGTATGGTTCAAAAGAAATCACTTACTTTGTGGGGTTTCACCTATAGCTTTGGGTATTTACAGTCCAGAGCCAGAACTGCAAAAAACACTCATGATATTTTTGAGTCCTTCGCTGATTACACTGATTTCCTTTTCAGTACTACTTTTTTAATAGTTGGCTTAATAAGGAAAACAACAAAAAAATAATAAAAAGAAAGAGCAAACAACATCCTGAGCAACTGTATTTAGTTGCTTAAAAGCAAATGTGTTTTTTTCAATTTAAACTAATCTGAAAGACATGAAACGCATCTGTATTTCCAAGTCTTCCCAAGCTAACAGAGAAAATTTGGAAATTAATTACTTGTGCACTCCTCAGCTTGTCTTCTTTGATGAGGTATTAAAAAACATCACATTTGCCAACTGGTGGGATTACATCGAAGCGCTCTATATCTTTCCTCAGGGAGGAGCCCTCGACATCATCCTCCTTCCAACAGCCCTCCAAATAGGCGTTGGTTGTCCATAAGAAACTAGCAGGGTTATTACTTTGCATGAAAAACAAATCCACGTTTTATTTCTATTTTACAAAATCTATATTTAAATGTATACAGTTTAAAAAAATACAGCGCCCTCATGCCCGTGTACTCTACAAAAACAAAACGGAAGATCTGACTCTATGTCATGCACACAATGCCCTAAGCACAAACGCATTTACACAACAGGGAGATCCGCTCTCTTGCGAGCATAACACACGCACAAAATGGATATTATAACTTCACCTGAACCGGACAAACTTACAAAGTTTAAGAAAGTGATTATTTCTCTGAGGATTAAAACGCCTAATCATTTCTTTTCTTTTTCCCTTAAAACTATCTTCCCTCAAAGTAGTCCAGAAAGGAGAAAGGGGTCATTAGTTTCACAGCAATCAAAAAAAAAACAACAAAACTATTCACAAGACCCATTAATGAAATCTACAAAACACGAATCAAGAAAAAGAAAGGCGATCCAATTATTGCGTCCACAGAGCTAATGAGACGAATAAACGTAAGCTGGAAGCCTGCTAATTTGATGCGAGGACCGCACGGAGGCCCCAGAAAGCGCAGGCTGCGGCCTGGGGGACAGGCTGCGGTTCGGGCCCGTCCCACGGCCGACCCCTAATTAGCCATCGGGTAGGGCTCGGGCTGGAAGCCGAAGAGCCTCGGGCCGTAGGGCTCGCTCCCGGCCGGCAGCTTGGCGCCCGCGAGCGGCAGGTAGGGGTCGCGGCCCAAGTGCTCGCAGTGGACATTGATCCAGTCCCGCTCCGAGCCGAAGCGCTCGGCCTCGGCCAGGATCCGGGTCAGGGCCATGATGTAGCTCAGCGCCATCTGCAAGGTCTCGTACTTGGACAGCTTTTTGTCCTGGCCCCACTGCGGGACCACCCGGCGCAGGCGGTCGAAGGCCGTGTTGAGACCCTGCATCCGGCGCCGCTCGCGCGCGTTGGCCGCCAGGCGCCTGCGCGCCGCGCTCTCCATTCGCTCGGGACCGCCCGCGCACGTGCCCGCGCACTCGGGGCCGCCCGCGCACGGGGGCGCGCCGCGCACGCCCGCCGCCGGGCCGCTGGGCTTGCAGGATTTCATCGCGCCGGTGCGCGGCCGCGGGGCCGCCGGGGAGCAGCGGGAGCTCACCGGCCCGCTCGAGACTTGGTGGTGAACTTGATCGCCGAACAGCTTCCTAATGGGCCGCCTCTTTAGCAAAAAAAAAAAGAAGAAAGTGGTGGCGGGGAGTTACAAATAAAGCAACTCACTTGGAATCAAATCATTAACAGGGGGAGTGAAGGGCTCCACCTTCTCTGTTCACTTGCCCAAATGTAGGGGTAATTGAGGTGCTGAAGACAAAGTCATTCTCCCGATGTGAATGAAGTTGGAAAGGCGAAGAGAAGCTGCATTCAATCAAGTTTGGTCTCGCTGCTTGGAGAAAGGCCTTTCAAATCCGCCAGGAACGTCCTAGACTTCTTTGCAAGAAGATGCAATCTTTCTAGGGAAATAGCGTTTTTCCGCAAAAGCGATCAGAGTGCAGGGGGAATCTTGGAGCAGCATATATAGCGGAGGGCTGAAGGAGGGAACAGGTGGTGGCAGGTGGGCAGGCGTCCCCAGGCTTCCATCTCAGCACCTTCCTACCCTGGGAACTGTGGGGGGAGGGGGCGACGCGCACCAAAATCCTGACATTACAGCCTTCGTCTGTTGAGGTTTCTCCACCGCTATGTCTGTGCAGCACTAACTAACGCACCATCTGGAGCGCCTGGCTGTCCCGAAAAGAATAACCGAGTGGGGGTGGTGAGGACAGAGCTTCATCTCTAGCGAAACTTTTCCCAGATCAGTGGGCAGCTTACAAATCAAAAACTTCAAAAAGGTTTTAAAATCATCAGAATTTTCTTGTGTGAAGCGGTTGCTCTTCAAATCATGTGAAGTATCAGATTGTAGTGTAAGAAAATGTAGCTTTTTCAGGTGATGCGGCCCTTTTGCATAAAATCGGTCTACTATATTGACATTTTGATTCTAGCTATTAGGTAAATAGGGGGCATTACTAAGTCTAATATTATTGCAGACCTGGAAATTTGTTGTACAAATATTCTGACTGCTTTCTGCAGAATAATGTGGTACAATGTATAAGATATATTGATGTACATACTAAACAAACTTAAATAATTCTAATTACACAATTGAATTGCTTGAAACAGATATTGAGACAAAACAATTCCATTTTTCTCCTGGCACAGGTCAGAACGTACATTGAGGTTGTAATTAACCACTTAATTATTTAATCTGACATTTAGGTCTAACCAAACAAATCATAAGGCATATGTATGTGCAAACATATAAGTAATTTGTGAGCTTCAAAAAATTCTTAATGGAAGATTTTCCCCACCTCATAAAACTATAAATACTTCATTCTGTTTGTATTAACTGTGCTCAGAGACAAGAATGAAGCATGATTTCCACATCTGATAATGATCACCTGATTTATACAGAGAAATCAAACTGGACTCGCTCACGTCAGTTTGTTTCTAGCTCTTAGGGAAGAGTGCAGGGGCAAAAGACATCAGGCTTCAAATAAGTTCATCTGTTTTCTAGCTCCTAAGGAAGTTCAATTTTGCTTTCTCCTTTTGAACTATGAATTAGATCATCATCATTATTCTCAGATATTTTTGTTTCATAAAAATATCAGCAAGCTCCCACAAAAAGAACATCTTTCACCATGACTTAGCTCCCCCACCATTGCCTCAGACTGTAATACTGTTGTGACCGCAGTGACTCTAAGGCCTGGCTTCCCATCAATAGTTGATTAATCCTCAGCTGAAGCAATGACAATGAAATGAAGTTGAATGGCATGAAGACAATAGGGTGTAATTGAACATGAATGAACTCCAGCAGGACAGATGCCAAGCACAGACTTCTGCAGGGAGTCACTCAGCTCTGTGACTCTGGGTCTTAACAGTCTTGGGCAGGCACAGCAGGCACAGCAGTCCTGTGGCAGGAACATTATTCAGTCCTCAAACTGTCAAGTATATGTGTGAGTCTTCGTGGAAATCTGTCCTATTAAGTTTACACTTTTTCATGTTCATCGATTTCATCCCTTTCCCAAGAAGCCCACACCGTGCTTCTCTCTGGATTGTTTTTCTACAAAATAAACTGTGAAAATTAATAAATAAATAAACTGTGTCCTTGTTCAGGACACTACTGTCCGAAAGTGCTAATGAGTATATGCTTTTAGAAGCCAAGGAAACAGTGTTGGTAGACAATGAAGATAGCCCATGTACCAAATGCACCAAAAGCATAAGTCGATGAGAAAAAGGAAACATATTGATATGCATTCCATAACATTACTATATTAGAACATAAGCCAGCCGATGAAGTGAAAATTAATCTGGTCATGGAGACTATCTTGTAAAAAAGGATGTTCAAGGTCATATGGTAAACATTTCCCAATTATATTCTAAAGAACATCTGTCCTACAAAGGTGCTTTTTTGGTGGGGGTGGGGTGAGGGAAGAGATGAAAAACTAAATACCAATTTTTAAAAATTAATTTAAAAATCATTGTATTAGGGACTCTTACAGCTCTTGCTACATTCCATACATCAGTTGTATCAAGCATATTTCTACATATGTTGCCATCATCATTTTCTAAACATTTACTTTCTATTTGAGTCCCTGGTATCAGCCCTCTTTTTTCCCTCCCTCCCCCCACTCCCACCCTCATGACCCCTTGATAAATTATAAGTTATTATTGTTTTCATATCTTACATCAGCCGCTATCTCCCTTTACCCACATTTCTGTTGGTAATCCCCCTGGTGTGTGTGTGTGTGTGGTGGGGGTGGGTATACATCAATCATTGTGATCAGTTCCCCCTTCCTCCCTACCTTCCCGGTATCCCTACTCCCAATTCTGTTCCTGAGGGGTTTATCTGACCTGGATTCCATATGTTGTGAGCTCTTATCTGTACCAGTGTACATGCTCCGGTCTAGCCAGAACTGAAAGGCAGGACTGGGGTCATGATAATGGGAAGAATGAGGAAGCCTCAAAGAACCAGAAGAATATTGTGTGTTGCATCGGTGCTATACCACACCCTGGTTGACTCATTCCCTTCCTTGACCCTTCTGTGAGGGGATGTCCTATTGTCTACAGATGAGTTTGGGGTCTCTACTCTGACCCCCCTTGTTCTCAACAATATGGGGTTTTTTGTTTGTTTTGGTCTTCTGGTACCTGTTACTTGATTCCATCAACATCTTATCATCACACAGGCTGGTGTACTTCTTCCACATGGGTTTGTTGCTTCTCTGCTAGATGGTCACTTGTTTAACTTTAAGACCCCAGACACTATATCTTTTGATAGTTTGACACCATCAGTTTTCTTCACCACATTTGCTTATGCACCTATTTGTCTTCAATGATCATAACTAGAGGGTGAGCATCACAGAGCACCAGGTTGTTAGAACAAAGTGTTCTTGCATTGAGGGAGGGCTTAAGCAGAGGCCCACCCAAAGTTTGTCCACTTCCTCAATGTGTTGCCATATGTACATAGGACAATACCTCTTTTCATGAATTAATATATTTACATGAGAGCACATCTGTATTTATACCTCTATCCATAGCTTTGCTTTCTAGATCTTTCCTCTGTTTCCTTTTACCTTCCTCCTGCCCCACCATCATGCTTGCCCTTCTTCTGCCTCTTAGTCATCTCAGCTAGATTGCTGTTGCTCCAACACCCCCAGGATCTCTACGGTCCTCCTCGTTGTTGCTTTTAATTCCCTAGTTGTTCCCCTGCCTATGGTGTTTTTTGCTCACCACTCCCTTCCCCCACCTCCTCCTCCCCCCAGGTCCCTCTAGAGCCATCGGTCCAGTTGCTTTCTCTTTGGGTTTGCTTCCCATGCCTGTCTCATGTAGGTAGACAAACAACAACAACGGAGACAAAGCAAAAGGCCAAGATCTATCCGACATCAGCAATGGTATCCCTTGTTCCAAATCCTCTTCTAAATTTGGCTGGAATTTCTGTCAGCTTCGTCAATATACTGCTGCAATTGTTGGATGATCTTAAGCAGAATTTTACCTGCATTATGATATCCACGACATTGTTCTCTATTCTGTGCATTCTGTTGGGTCACCTTTCTTTGAAAGGGGAACAAATATAGTTCTCTTCCAGTAGGTTGGCCAGGTAGCCGTCTTTCCTATTTCTTGGTACTGTATAGACAATTGAGTGCTTCCAGTGTCTCATCAGCTTTTTGAAACATTTCAACTTTTATTACATCAATTCCAGGAGTTTTGCTCTTATCAAATCCCTATAGTCCACCTTAGACTTATTCCTTCCATACCATTGGTTCTTGATCATGTGCTACCTCCTGAAATGGTGGAATGTCAACGAGTTCTTTTTGGTGCAGCAACTCTATGTATTCTTACCATCTTCCCTTGATGCTTCCTGCATCATACAATATTTTGCCCATAGAACCCAAACTCCTCCTAACTGAACTAATAGGTAATATTATAAAAAATGGAGAAAAGGTTGAAGTTGTCAAGGATTTTGTCTTCCTTAGATCCACAATCAATCCTCATGGAAGCAGCAGTCAAAAGATGAAGAGACTCATTGCATTGGGTAAATCTGCAGTACAAAACCTCTTTAGAGTTTTGAAAAGCAAGGATGTTACTTTGAGGATTAAGATGGACCTGACTCAAGCCATAGTATTTTCCATCACCTCATATGCATGTGAAAGTTGGACATCAAATAAAGAAGACTGAAGAATCAATGCATTTGAATTGTGGTGCTGGAGAAGAATCTTGAAGGTACCAGGGACTGCCAAAAGAACAAACAAACTTGTCTTGGAAGTGTGCCCAGAATGCTCCTTGGAAACAAGGATGACGAGACTTTGTCTTATATTCTTTGGACATATTGTCAAGAGAGACCAGTTCTGGAGAAGGATATCATGCTTGGTAAAGTGGAGGGGTGTGGGGAACAGAAGGATTTCTCTTAAGCTGTCTCCCCAATAATATGTCCCAGATTTAGCTGCTTGAGAATGACTGTACACTAGGCGGTCAGCGAAAGTAGGTCAGAGATTATTCTCCTCACATCAGCCACTAGAGCTACCA